AACAAATTTGTTTGTATTTTTCATGTGATGAAATTATTTGTTTGGTATTTTTTCTGTTTAAAATGTTTTGTCCTATCGACTCTGTTTTGTAGATATAGGGTATTTATTCACGCATTTATTTTCAGTTGTACAGGACTAGTGGTGATGGCGATGTGCTGCTGTAGCTGCATGTTACAATCGCAGAGAGGAAAAAGCGAATAAGCCACATCATCATGTAGAAACTATTTATTTCAATCAACATGAGTGGGACCAGAGACCATATCTATTATATGGTATCTGGTGGGACACAATGTGCAAGACAAAACTGGATGATTTTTTTCAAGTTTTTTCTTGACTGATTTGGAGGTGAATAATTAATTTACCTAAATGGACAAGTGGTACCTGCATGGGGAATATTTGAACCAATTATCAATACTGTGTTACTATACCATAAAATTGATTTATTGTAGATCAGGTGTATTTATTCTGTACCACTGTAACTGAAGACATTTTTAAGGAGAACATATTATCAGATTAACATAACAGGATTCACACTACAGCCAACAATTAACCCAAATAAATAACGAACACCTGGAATTTCAGTTAATAAAAATTTATTTTGAAATGGTGTCTTAAAAGTCCAATAACAATAGACACATTCACAATAGCTTCCAACTGTAATACTGATAACAATAAAATTTTCAGAGGATGCAAATTGAAAATATATTGGGTGCAATATTTATATTGATAGAAGTATCCTTTTAGATTAGTCTGACATAAATGGCAACAATTACAGCTGGATCAATGCATAATTTATCATAGTTTTCTCCCCTTACACATTATCATAATCTCTTACCTATATGTTTTTTTCTGACTCTCAACTAACTCTTTTCAAACAGGATGCAATACATTCTTTTTCACCAATTATTAATTAAACAGCAGCAAATGAGTTACATCTACAACTATGCCATTATGAAAGACCTTTCTATTATTCAGTTAAATCCATCAATGTGTATGTATTACAGCTGTCTCTTTTTTCATCCATCATTTACACAACACAAAAGCACCAAACAATTTCATTTACATTCATGTCTGTCAATTTATGTACTGTTTGGGCAAGGTACTTCACAAAACCTGGGAAGATATTCAACAAATGAAAAAGTTCCAGCTAATCAGTGCCAATGTTTGAAATGATGGAATACTGTAAAATGTTCAATCAATTTTTATCATCATACATGAATTTACAAACTCCAAACTTTTCAAGTTTTCTGTTCAATTCTTCTATTTTGTCAACCTTTTCCTTGTGTTGCCTCTCCTGTTCATGTAATTTTGATGGAGTTGTTCTATGTTGGACTGGGGGTCAGTGGCTGCTGTATCACTCTCTGCTTCACTGTAATATAAGCATTGTAAAGCATCACTATTACCTCTTCGACCACACAAACAATAAATATATCTTTGAAATTACAAATATACATCAATGAGTAGAGGCTAACTTCATTTCATAATTTAGACAGTATGGGCAATCAATATTCTCATATGTAAAAAACATAGCATATAGGTCAAAGTTCAGTTGTATTAAATTCTTTAAAACCATGTCAGTTGGCAAAATTAACTTAATGCAATCTGACATTCTTACTGTATCTGAGATGGTGACTGTGGTAGATTCCTTATGGGAGGTTCCTGAGCTGGTGACATGCTCTCTGACTCTTAATTAGCAGCATCTGAAATGGATATTTAAACACTAAATATATTTCAGTTGGTGTTATTAGATTGTCCAGTAATGTGTCCTGTATCCCTGAAGTACTGGTCAGTATGCAGTAATTTTGAAAGTAGATACATATTTAAGATTGTTTTAACAGCATGTGTATGTCCTGCATATACAAATGTATATGTACTTGAAATGTTACTTTGATTTGCAGCCAATCTAATTTCACGGATACAGAATATTTACAAATGAAATTCCCTTGCCATCATGACAAGAGTGTCTGCACATGTCCATATGCTTAATTTTTTTTAATATATTGGACCGTTCATAATTTATGACTAGGGGGGTGATGATGATTTTAGGTGCGGTGTTTGTGGGGGTTGGGGTGTCTCCCAGTTTGTTTTGGGAGGCAGGGGAGGGTCAGTTGTGTACATATGAACTGGGGGTGATCACTGATTTTGAACATGACAATGTGTGTGGGGGTGGGGGTGGGGTTTGAATGTGTCTGTGTGTGTGTGACATTCACATTGTACATGTGCCCCTGATATTAAAACCTTGCATAGTGAACAATTTGTACATTACACGGCAGATCTAGACTATGCCATGTGCCGTAATTATTTTGTACTTACTATGAATCATTTTCCAGGATCTCTCCGTATTTTCGTCAACCGCTGCCTTCTTCTGATCTTATTCTTGGGAATATGGTGAAAAGATACCGTAAAATCCTTACGGGCATCACTCCAACGCAAAGGCACACAGCAGTAATCTTTCCTTTTCGAGGTCGCCATTTTCAAGGTTGGGTCAACCTATTTAAGCCTCGCTTTCGATTTGACCTCGAGGTCATGCATATTGGCTAAGAATGGTCTATAGTGGAGCCAACAAGGCTCGTACTCCCGCCTCAAACCAGTTGGTATAAGATAAAGTGTCTATTGAGCGACATCAATATCCTTGAGAGTTAAAGGAAGCGTCCTTAGCTTTAAAATCCTGGAGCACGAATAAGTCTATCATGGATCGCATAAGCTGATCTCTGAGACACCTTAGGGATGGCATTGAGTGAGGACGCCTTGGCCAGGTTAGAGTTACATGTATAAGATTCCAACGAAGATTTCAATGCCGACGAATGAGGGAGAGATAATCTGGAAATCCTTTCTGGAGGCAGGCAGCCCGAAGTTCCTAGTTCAACTGGTAATTCCTGTTCTGGTTCGATTGTGGTGGGACCGTGCTTGGATATAAGCCATGAATCAGTTTTACTTTCAGCCTGCATGACCAACCCAGGGTAAAATCCTCAGACGAAGTATCCATAGGCTGAACCATGAGTAAACCCTCCTTCATTAAAAAGTCCGGCTGGGAAAACGGATAAACAGAAGTACACTCTCAGTCCGATAAATCCGGTACCAGGGGTAAAATCGGCGGCCTGTCTGTATCAATATAGTTCGTGGAGCCTGTGGCTGTACCGCTAGGCACATGACTGGCAGACAGAGAAATCCCATCGCCGTTAGCCCCTGTGGAAGTCGTGGCTTGCTGGCCATCAGTAGGCTGTGAGATGAAGGCTAGGGGCATGTGATCAGTCCCGCTAACCGGCTGAAGCCCATTCCCCACGTGGAACAAGGTGGGAGGCTTTGTGTGCTTAGGAGGCTTGCTCCCAGAGCCAATGGGCATGCCTTGTGTTGCCCGATCAGCAAACAAAGCCTGCCTGGAAGCCCTAGGATTCTCCCCATGTAAGGAACGGCTCTCCGGTCTGGACAGTAAGTGATACCCAGCTTTCCCAGGTAGAGCACCTAAAGCCTTCACGGTACTGACCGATGAACCGGCCTTTGCCCTCGTCAAACAGTCAGTATTATTCATGGAAATATTGCCGTGATCAGTACTCTCATGATATATTCTCTGTAGAATGTTGATTTTTGCCTCATTCCTCAATTCCATCTGCTTCATAGTCTGGTTAACCAGTGAAGCTTGCAGCTCAGCTTATTACACCTTAAGTTTTTTAACCAAATGATTCAACTAGCATTTTATCACTTGAACTATTTTGGTATTTTTATGTATTCATAGGTAACATAATACATATGTTCTGAATAGTAAATGAAAACAAACTCTAACAAAGAACATCATTTGAAAGAAGCTAAAACATAACAAGTCTCTGAAATCCGCTTTCTACACTTTACTTTACTGTCTATTCTTTTTCTCCTTGTATTCTTTCAGAAGTGTTTTTTTCTCGATGTTTAGCCAAGTTTTTCCAGGGATTAACGATGAAACAAACAAATTATTTGTCTTAAATGTGTCAACTGACATTTGTATTCATAGAAACAACATTGTAACCATTGCAGATAATAGGACTGCTTTTGTTTTTCATATATTTGTAGGTAACTAAATCTATTGGTAGGTAACAAGCAAATCTAACAAAGAACATCAACACAAAATACTTTACTGAACTGTTCTCTCTTCACGTTACTGTTTGTCCTCACTATCTCTGTATTTTGTTAACAGTTCATCAGCTATGATTATCCATATTTTGCAATGACAATTGCTATTAGATAGACATTTACAGAAAGTTTCAACTACAAAAACGAGTTACCTATGAATAAGACATACCTTTGACAAATCTAATTACTAAACCCATGCAACTAACTTCTACTACAGTCTCAATTCTCCTATGCTCGCAAGTGCATCAGTGACAGCCCTCAACAAGACTTACAACTTCAAACTAACTGACTGATGTTACCTTCAAATACAGAATGTTACCAACAAATACACATGTTACCTACGAATCTACCGTTTATCGCATGATATCAGGCAAACTTTTAATTTTATCACAAGATCATCTTGTATTCTGACATTTCAATCAAAAAGAATTCATTATATCACTGTAATAAAACCACGTACTGCAGTGCATCCCAGAATAGAACATTTTTGTTGAATGCTCAGTTATGTAGCCATTTGAAATTCCAAGGAACAATTTCAATCTATTAATATGCAGTACTGCGTACCTAATCAGTTTTATGATCTGCAATATTTTTCTTCAGTGTAAATTATGTTATGGCAGCGTATTGTGTTCTCTAATTCATTTTGTTGACAACGAATACATGTTGCGTACAAATACCGTGAGCCACAACCGGGGAAATTCCAGCAGGACACATGATGTCTTACTAATTGTAGCCCCCATGTGAATTCCTTCTTTTACAATGATAAGATTTAAAACCTCACTAAAATTAAAGTTGGTTAGTTGTAGCAGGTGTGATATGCATCCTATGTTATTGTGACATGGGTTTATTTATATATACATTCTTACAGAAAATGTAAAATATACTTACTTATCACCATGATGTTGTCTGGTCTCATGTCAAGGTAGCTAACTCCACCAATATATTTGAATCGGTTGTTGGTACTTGTAGGTCACATTTGGGAGGTAATATTTACCTACAAATACAGGTTATTTTGTGTGATATCTTCTTAAAACAGCACATCATTCACTAATGTGTTTGTCTGTGGAAACAGCAACATGTTTAATGGTATTTGTAGGTAATGTTATTTGTTTTACGTAATCTGACTTTGATTTTCTAACATTTTTTTACGACATTACTTATGAGAAATATTATGTAATGCAATTTATTTGCAATAAAATACCACTTGAAAACAAATTAACAAAATCACAATTAAGCCCTAGACAAAATCACTTCAGGGGATTTATTCACAAAATGTTTGGCAGTCAGATTAATAAACTTCTGTTCATCCAGTTTGACTAGTATTTAACACACAACATATTTTCAACAAAACATTTGTAAAATATGAGTCAAATGGAATAAAAATGGCTTGTTTTTTGTGTGTCTCAACAAGCCTGATTTTTAATTGAAAATAGTTATGTTATATATGGCCTGAATCGTCTCACTTGTGCCTGAAACATATGAAGATAGTAATGCTAAAATGTTATGGGCCCAAATATGTTGTGTACACTTTTCATTAAAATCAACTATATAAGGTTTGGTGAAGTCAATGAGAAAGTCTTGTGAGCTGCTGATTCTTGTCACATTACAGTGCACTCTGTCTAATTCGGACCAGCTTGGGACCGACTAAAAAGTCCGAATTATTCAGTGGTCTGAAGTACACAGATTTTAATGGAGTTATCTCCCTATTTTCAGCAGAATTAAAATTATAAACTATTTTTCGCAATGTTATTGAAAACAACGATTCTCGGACACCTGCTTCGGCAGCGGGTCCACAATAACATTGTCAAAGAGCAAAGTAACGATGTTTCGAGGAATTCATGAAATAAATTGAATAAACTAATGAATGAAATCAACAACAACATTCATAAAGGTTGTCAAACGTACATATAAAATTACTATTTCCATCTTTTTGTGCGATCATGTACAATGTAATGTAAGTCAAGTCACTGACAAGTGACATCTCGGCTCTCGCCACCTCAATCTTCACGCTCGGACACGATGTTCAATACGAAAATATATACATGAAGCATTTTTGTCACAGGTCATAGCCTAACACGATAAGTCGAATACGTTCCATAATTTACGTATAGGTAGCAATTTCTTACTTAACATGTTCAGAATAGCATTATTTTACACGAAATGTTTGTCTAAAAGTTTTCGTTTACGAGGACGGTATCCATTGCCGTAATATGATTGGCTGCCTAATAGGTCATGTGTCTGATTTTGACCAATCACGACCCTTATAGCAGACTGTGGCGACAAAGTGTCATTAGAAACCAATCTTTATCCAATAAAATCGCTTCTTACAACTGATTGATATCACACTGTGTCTGATGGCATCTTAAATGCATAGTGACATTGACACTGAGTTGACATGATCGGCTCAATTATAGTTTACAATTGGTGTTAGTTGCATCAAAGGTAAATAAGCGTTCACCGCTAGACCACGCGGTCTTGGCCAAGCGGACTTCCTGCTAAGTAAATAAGACAAAAAACACAAACCAATCAACGGAATGTTTATTCAAGGTTTACCGGCCAAGCGGACTTCCTGCTCAGTCCGAATTATATAGCAATGTTTTTACATGTAACTACCTTATCGGGCCGACACTTTGGTCCGAAATCCGAAATAATGAGAGTCCGAGATATAGAACTTTTTTATTATGACAACAAAGAAGGATTACGTCGGGACCGTGAGTTCAGTCCTGTTTATACAGCAATCCAAGAAAGACAGAGTCCGAGTTTGACAGAGTGCACTGTATATATATATATATAGTCATTTTCATGTCCCCCCACATGAGCACTATGTGTGAAGCCCATTTCTGGTGTCCCCTGCCGTGATATTGCTGGAAGATTGCTAAAAGCGGCATAAAACCATACTCACTCACTAACTCAATCATTTCCATGTCCCAAAATGGGAAGTGGGAGTATGTGAGGTGTGCTCACTTCTACACTTGTTTTGCTACTGTTCGCCACACCTTGTTCCTATATCATGATACTTTGCCCAAATTTCAGATTATGTATAACATTCATGACCAAAATGTATGCGATACTGTTTTGAGATATAGAGGCGGAATCTTTTAAATGTAATTGTGGTTATGTGGCACTTCAGTCGTCACACAGTGAGGGACTGTATATGGTCCTGTTAGTGGATTATGCAGGATAGTGATATAATTATGTGTGTGTATCAATAATCATTTTGTAATATTTCGTAGTCTTTCCATTGTGTTCATAACACAATGAACTAGGAGGTTCATTTTTAAATATTTCTTGTTTTTACAAATATTGTGGCATGTGTGACACTTCCATTCATAAATTTATCAGACGCCCCAGTGATCACCTCTGTCCCCAGCAACAAGGATGTGACAGAGAACACCAGTCCCAACATCGACTGTAGCAGTAACATCACACCAGGCAACCCTTCAACAACAAGCTACAGGTGGACAGGTCCAGGTGGTTACAGCAAGGATGGGGCTGTACTTGACAGACCTGTCACCAGGACTCAGGGAGGAGTGTACATTTGTACTGCCTCCAACACCCCCGGACTGTCAGACACAGCTCAGGTCAACGTCAATGTCCCGTGTGAGTATATCTTATGTGTGAGAATGAGTTATCTTAACACCCAGACCTCCAGTGCAATAACACATCATGCTGCACGCTGAAAACCTCTATGGGTTTTCAACATTTTTCAAGCACCTAAATGTTAAACAACTTTTCTTCAGTGTGGAGTGTGAGTACTGGTGACAATATCATGCAAACCCTGAGCAAATATGTGAAACAGCACAAAGTTTAGTTGAATGTATTGCTTTATGAAGAAAACATTGCAAAATAAGCATATTCAGATTCTGATGTTTCTCCTCAGTGTCCATTACTATTAATCACGATTCTTGAGATGATTTCATCACACTGGTTTCCATTTGATGTTTTTTTCCTAGTTTTTCCATTTGTTCCTCCAAAAACATGAGCAACTGTGGAACAAATGTTCTGAATGTTCAGGCTGAGTTGTGAGAGTTCTTTGGAGGATTAGAATAGATGTGATTTTCAGGACTATTGTTACAGGTATGTTATGACTTGTTGCTTTGCTTGCATTCCAATTATCATTACTGATAGGTAAATGAAGGTTGAAAAAAGAATGATGCTTATTTCAACATTATATGCTTATAGACGCCCCAGTGATCACCTCCGTCCCCAGCAACAAGGATGTGACAGAGAACACCAGTCCCATCATCGACTGTAGCAGTAACATCACACCAGGCAACCCTTCAACAACAAGCTACAGGTGGACAGGTCCAGGTGGTTACAGCAAGGATGGGGCTGTACTTGACAGACCTGTCACCAGGACTCAGGGAGGATTGTACATCTGTACTGCCTCCAACACTGCAGGACTGTCAGACACAGCTCAGGTCAACATCAATGTGCAGTGTAAGATTTATTTGTGAAAATATGTTTCTTGTCTGTTAGTCTGTAGCTCATGGGTTCTACTCTGTTGATATGCAACAATAAATTCTCGATGATAGATGTGTGCCAATGTTACAGGGAAATTACCATCTCCATACCAGAGTGGATGAGTACCTGCCATTATGGAAGTAATTTTGTGTTTGGTTCTCTTACCTTGCTATTCTAGTTTGTGTGTATTTGTGTGAAGGTCCTGATAGCAGAATATTCAGATTGAGAGACTGTACAGGCCATTGATAATCCACAGTCTAATATCTCCTATTACACATGCCATTTCATGTTCACATTCTGAACCACCATTGCATGCGTTCAGACTCTTTGTTATTTTTTTTAGTTTGTTATAGTTTCCTTTGGATAGATTCTGTAAAGTAACTTTAAACCTCACTCTGATTGGAATTATTAGTTATGTCCTATATGGACCTTTTCCTGTTGTCTTTCACTTAGCAAGAACATGAACTTTTGTTTCTTGACAAGGACAGGTTTTACCTTCCTCATTTTAGCATTTTCAAGAAAATATATTTTTTGTTTGTAATGTGATCTGCTGCTCATGGGTTCCACTCTATTGTTTACCCAAAGCCCTAGCTGGACAAATCATATATATGTCTGTTTATTTTCCCACAACAATACTTTCATGAATTTTTCAACCCATCAAAAATAGGCAACCACACATAATTTATGGCCAGGGATGGGGTGGGGTGTGTGATGATGATTTTAGGGGGTGGGTGGGGATATTAAAAAGTTATGCTTAAAAATTATGGGAAGGGGTAGGGGGGTGGGGGTGTTTTTTTATTTTGATTTTGTACATGACACGCAGGGGGATCACTTACTTTGTACAAGAAATTTTAGAGGGCTCATTCACAATGTACATGCTTCTCCATAAAAATCATCACCACTCCCCCAGCCATAAATGATGAACCACAACATCCCCCACATGATCAGTGAAACAATGCAATGAGTCAGTTGAACAGTATTCCAGGAGGATCATATTTAGTCAGTCATGAGGTAAGCCTGCAGTGATGTGGGTCTCAAACATTAAACACATATTGATATGGTGCTGACAAACCAGGATTCAAAACCACTATCATCAGAACAAAAGTTACTATTGTTAATAATTCTCAGGATGCTACATATATTCATCATATCCCAAAGTTTTGGTGACCGCCTCCGTGGTGTAGTGGTTAGAGCATCCGCCCTGAGAGCGGAAGGTCGCGGGTTTGATCCCCGACCGCGTCATACCAAAAGACGTTAAAATATGGTACTTGTTTGTCCCTGCCTGGTGCTCAGCATTAATGGGTACAACAAGGACTGGTCGGCTCGGAGTCAGTATAATGTGTCTGAGTGGGGTATTCATGCTTCACTGTGGTATGGGATATCAATGGGCTAGCACTATAAAACCAGCTTAAGTCTGGGCTAGTACAAGCAGCCGCACATACACATACACTCGCATGCACGTCGTCATATGAGCGAAATATTCTCAAGCACGACGTTAAACCCAATTTCACCTCACCTCACCAAAGTTTTGGTGATAATCACTCAAAACTAATCTTTTGAATTTGCAACAGCAGTCTTCTTCAGTCTACTACACACAATTAGTAGTCAAGACGACCTAGGTAATCAGCTTGCAAGGGAAACCTTTCTTCTTTCCCAACCATCCATCATCTGGAGACAGAAGAATGGGGAGTGGGAGTATGTTTTTATGAAATAGAGATAGTTTTCTAAGAATTATTTAGCAATTATGTTTCACCTTACCTGACACTACAAAGTGTTTTTATCTTCCCTACCTTAACCTAATAGACAGAAACAGCATGCAGAATGAAGTCTGTGCCCCTGTACCCTTTGTTATGTATACATAGTTATATAGATATGTAGTTCTGTCTTACAATGATATATTGCAAACTGTAGATAACCTTGAAAAATGTTAATTACAGTTACTTTGATGTCATTTCCAGTCTATCAGACTTCTGGTTCAGATGCCACTTCAGTTATCTTTTCCTTACAATTTAGTCCAGGAGCTTAAAGGAGACAGTCTAAGTAAACTTAGGCTCAGTATTATTCGTTACACTGCTATACTGAGTCTAACAAACCCTAGTAGGTCGCATCAGCTGACTTTGAGCGACCTATGACAGTCCAATCAAATGCGAGATGGCCGATTTAACCAATCAGATAACATCTACTATTTAGGGTTCGGCAGGACTTACAAAATGATTTTTGGATTTTTCTCTTTCCCAGTCGCTGACACTGATCTGTCAACAAATAAAAATCCACAAAAAACACAGACATTTGACCTGCAGTGTATACACTTCTCATGACGTGTTTACTATTAGCTTATTAACGGGATTGACTCAGGCTGGTGTTCCGCTAGAGTTACCCTCCCTAGACATCCCGTCGTCGCAGCCAAAGACTAGGAGGGCTTCCACTTCGTCTCAACGCAGACTCCGCACCCCCAGGGCAGCATCCACGTCCAAGGGGAAATCGACGAAGTCCACTAGAACCTTCTCAGCCGAGATTGTTCCCGTTGCAGAATTGGGCCTGTATGATGATCAACCGATCATCATACCTGATTTACGTCGGAAGAAGCGTCCAGTGTCGGCAACAATAACATCAGCGCAGATCAGCACGCAGTCTGAGGTACCAACGCTGATGTCTGATAATCTTCCTGAGGGTCCCGTCGCTACCATCGTAGAGAAGGCAGCAACTACTTCAGCGCAGACCGTCCCAGACGACCTGATGCGTCAGATATGAAGTTGATGGAAGACCACTATGGTCTGGAGAGGCATCCAGCCTCGAGCCTACGCGAAGGCTCCAACATAGACATCACTTCAGAGGGACCCCCAGTCAGCGAAGCTACTACTACGAAGCCAGCGTCGAAAAAGCCACCTTCGCGAAAGTCGTCACTACCCACCTCCATGAAGGACCCAGATGATCAGCATTCACGGAAGGCTTCGCGAAGGACGTCGAGATCCTCTCATCCCCGGACTCTGACTCAGACTCCCAACCTTCACGAAGGTTAAGTCGTCACTCTCCAGGACCAGACTCAGATGAAGCTTCGCACAGATCTTCGCGAAGGGAACCAGCTACAGGCTCCAAGTCATCTTCATCTAGAAGGTCATCAAGGGATTCACCGTGAGCTTGGTGAAGCTACCACATTGATCTCCGCGAAGGTCACAATACAGACGCAGCTTGTCACGCCACGTCAATTTCCTCGCCGGTCTCCACTTCGATCTCTTCGTCGTTCATATCGTAGATCTACTCTCAGATGCGGAATCAACGTTCGCGAAGGCATTCGCGAAGGAGCATTCTTCCATCTTTGATTACAGAATCAGACGACACTACAGTGTCTGTCTACATTCTCAAGCGTTCTCGTAGGCATTCGCGGAGAACCAGTCACCACTCCCCAAGTACGGACTCAGATGAGCCTTAGCGAAGCTCTTCACGAAGGACGTCAGCTGCTGTTTACAAGACATCTTCATCCTATACATCGTGGAGGGATTCACTAGGACCTTTGCGAAGCTATAGGTCACCCTACAAGCACAGTTTGTCGGGCTATTCACCACGTCGATCCCCTCGCCGATTTACACACAGGTATCCAGCGAAGCAGAGACATCGCAGTACTTGTCTATCAACTGTACGCCACATGCCGTCTACAAGCCTACGCAAAAGCATTCGCACAGGCCATTTACAACGCAGAAACGTCGCAGTATTTATATTATCAACAGAACGCTATATGTCATTACCGAGCTTGCGCGAAGGCATTCGCACAGACATCCACAAGACAGAGACATCTCAGTACTTAACTTTTTAACAGAATGTTATATTAGTTACGCGTAGTACTATTTACAGATGAAGAGCCTAAATAAGGATCTTCAGGCCGACTGCCTACATCAAGGGCATCAACGACGCTTCGCAGATCATCACAGGAATCACCATTTCCGTATATATTGCCAGGTAGGCCGTCCCGGACTACGAAACGATTATCTACATGCAAGGCGCCATACAGTCACACCAAGTTGACCACTACGCAGATCACTACGCAGATCGTCAAGATTATATAACTAGGACATGATATAGCATCATCCTAGAACGGAAATATCTTCTTCGGTACACAGATGGAAGATAGATAATACACTACAAGACAGATACTTGGTGTCACAATTCATCACTAGCATGGACAATCAGTCGGAATCCAGGATGGGATTCACATAGATTGATACATCTACATTAGTAGATTTATGACATCATAGAGATCTTCACCTTCGGACAGATCTGCAGACAATTTCAATAACGGAATTGAGCAGCAGCCTTGCTACAGCGAGTAAAACACATAATCGTCAACGATTTCCTGAGAGAAAAAATGTACAACAAGTTCAGCATTAATTCAACAATTATAACGCTGCATTGATGTATGCAGTCTACAAGCTGACAACGTACAAGTTTTATTGAGCCTATATATAAGGACGACGGCATTATCTTCAAGACTGAAGTTACATTCACAGCAGCCAGGAAAATAACCTACCCAGCATTGATATTACAGGGCGAGGTATTTCGCGGTGAAATATTCGCGTGTTTACCATTAACCCTCGACACACATGGTCACTCGTGTAACCTCGGAAAGTTTTGGACAAGACCAACGATTGATTAAATATCAACGACGGCACTAGATTATACAAGGTTCCTTTTCCTGCTACACCGGTGACATCACAGCGTGGGTACACTACAGAATCAAAATGCCTTGTTCTGATTGGACCGCGAGGGGCAACGCCCTACGCAGAGGTTGGTCATTGTTCACAGTTCAAGACATGGGTCTCAAGTGACAACAACATGTCAGTGAATGAGCAACGCCTCCAGTACAGTTCAGTTAAACTGGACCTTCATGATTTGGCTGCCTTCATGGGGTTAGATACCTCCCCTGTCAATTAAGGACGAGGGCACAGCAGCCAGGCGATTTTTACATAAAGTTTCAACGATGG